ATGGATGGATGGATGGATGGATGGATGGATGGATGGATGGATGGGTGGGTGGATGGATGGATGGATGGATGGATGGATGGATGGATGAGAATTGCCAGCCACCTGCGGCTTCTGGGACTCTTAAGAATGTTGGGGACGAACTCGGAGGAGGCTCATAGGCAAGGACCAGTGGAATGTCCACTTATCTGTCCATTTTGGATCTTGAAAATTCCAGCAGGACTCAAGGCTGACAAGAAAAAACAGCCTGCCTGAAAAAAAAGAAACACTTGTGGCTTATCTGACCCCGACTCCCCCGGTTGGCCTCGGAAGCAGGCCGACATCAAATTTCTCCTGGGACATGTGTAAACTAAGGAAAAGCTTTGTCTATTGCAACATCAACCATCCGTCCATCGTCTTCTGCTTATTCTGAAGTCAGGTCTTGGGGGCAGCAGCTTGAGCAGGAAAGCCCAGACATTTCTTTCCACAGCCACCTCTTCTGGGAGAACTCAGAGATGTTCCCAGACCAGCTGAGACACCCAGTCTCTCCAGCGTGTCCTGGGTCTTCCCCGGGGTCTCCTCTCAGTCGGTCATGCTCAAATCACCTCCCTAGGGAGGCACCCAGATGCCCGAACCACCTCAACTGGCTCCTCTCGATGTGGAGGAGCAGTGGTTCTACTCTGAGTCTCTCCTGATAGCTGAAGTTCTCACCCTGTCTCATAAACAAAACCCAGAGATACTTGAACTCCTCCACTTGAGACAGAACCTCACCCTCGACCTGAAGAGAGCAGTCCACCCTTTTCTGACTGAGGACCACGGCCTCAGATTTGGAGGTGCCGATTCTCATCCCAGCTGCGTCGCACTCGGCTGTGAACCGCTCCAGTGAGAGCTGAAGATCACGACACGATGACGCCAACAGGACCACATCATCTGCAAAGAGCAGAGATGGACTCCTTCCGCCTCCTGGCTGCACCGAGAAATTCTGTCCATCAAAGTTATGAACAGAATCTGTGACAACGGGCAGAGCTGGGTCAACATCAGGATGCTCAAACTCAGGTCAGTGAGGTACCTTCCACTCCTACTGGTAAACACATCGTTGCCCATCAAAGAGTGGACCTCCCTGACTCGCTCAGGTCCATCCAAGCAGACCCGATAATCCAAACGTTTGATGAACGAGCGCCGACGACCCTCAGAGCAGAGCCAGGCGACCCCTTCAATTACAGGCAGATCTGACTAAAGCATCGAACGATCTGTTGATCTGAGTCATTGCTGTTTTTATTAAAATGTGTCCACATTCATGGGAATTTGATGAATTCAATATATATTTACCTGATGCTAAATGGCTTTGATTTTATTTTTCCATCTAAGAGTAACATTAACGCCAAGCTTTGAGCATTAATTTTTAGCCATTCAGTCTAATCGCTGCCCTTTTACTTTCCTGTGTTTTTCCACGGTATAAATTAGCGATGTATTGTGATGTTAACTACGACTTGATTGAATAATTTGTGCGAGACTGCAGTCGTATGGATGCATAATTAATTAGTCCACTTTTTTTTATCAGCTCAAATACATTACCAGCAGACGTGGAGGATTTTCTTCAAAAATCGTCTCTGAAGCCTACAGAAAATGTTGAAACGCTTTATAAATTAAAATAGTTCCGATTCTGAATTGTTTTTTCCTCCAGACTTGGACGTTCTCAGCTTTGTGACACTCTGGTTGTATCCACTGTTCCACCGCTCCGGTTCAGTAAAAATACAAACAGAGCTGCTATTAAATTACAGTTCTGTTTGTTTTACAAGCTTTGCTTTATCGGCTCAGGGTGACATATTTCAGCACCGACGATCCTTCAGGCCTGGATACGACTTCAGCTTTTCAATAATTCAAGTTTAACGAGGACGAGTCAGGTCCTCTGAACCGGGTCCTTCTTTGTTGAAACGTTTCATCTTTCATCCAAAAGATTTCTGCAGTCTGACGGATAAAAGAATAAACGTCTCAACAAAGAAACGCCTGTCCAGAAGACCTGACCGGCCTTGTTCGATTCATCTACCTGGACTGTTGAGCAGCATCGGGACAATAATTCAAGTTAAAAATAAAACAGTTTTACAGAAATCAGGAGCAAACGGAGAAATGACATTTTCTGTGAAAGTGCAGTGAAGTATATATATTCAATTCAGTTTATTTATATAGCGTCAAGTCTAATAGGTATATGACCCTGAAGCGCTGAATAACAGCCGAAATGTGATGAAGAAGCTGAAAATAGTTTGGTGAAATCAAATACAAACTAAAATCTTAAAGTGTCAAAAGGTTAAAAGTTAAAAACCATCAGAAGGCTAGCTAAAAGCTAAAAGAAAAGCTAACTAAAAGTAGCAAACAAAAATCAAAAATAGCCAAACATAGCTTAAAGCTAGCTAGGCATAAAAGGCTAGCTAAACATAGTAAAAGATTTGCTCAAAGCTAAAAAGTACCAAAGTCAAGCCAAATTGTTCAAATTAGCAAAACGCTAGCTCAAAGCAAAAGTAGCAAGAACTTGTTAAAAAAGATAATGTACCAATAGCTCAAAGCTAAAAGTAGCATATGCCTAGCTAAAACGTACCAAAAGTTAAGCTAAAAATCAAAAATTTGCTAAATGCTAGGTCAAAGCTAAAAGTTGCAAACAGCTAACACAAAACTTAAAGTAGCAAAAAAACTAGCTAACAAAAACGACGTTCAAGTAAAAGCTAAAAGTAGAAAATAACTAGTTAAAAGTTAAAGTACCAAAAGTTTAGGTAAAAGCTAAAAGGAAAAAAGCTAGCTCAAAACTGAAAGTAGCATAAGGCTTTCTAAAAAGGTAAAGTACCAAAATGTAGGTAAAAGCCTAAATTACATAAAGCTAGCTCTAAGCTAAAGTAGCTAAATGTTTCCTATAAAATTACCAGAATTAAGCTAAAAGCTCAAATTAGCAAAAAAACAAACAAAAAAAGCAGCTACCTCAAAGTGAAAGAACCAAAAGATTTAACTAAAAGCTAAAAGTAGCGTATGGCGAGCTAAAAAGTACCAAAAAATAAGTTAAAAGCTAAAATTTGCAAAATGCTAGGTCAAAGCTAAAAGTAGCAAATAACTATTTAAAAGTACCAAAAGTTTAGGTAAAAGCTAAAAGTTGCAAACAGCTAACACAAAACTTAAAGTAGCAAAAAAACTAGCTAACAAAAACGACGTTCAAGTAAAAGCTAAAAGTAGAAAATAACTAGTTAAAAGTACCAAAAGTTTAGGTAAAAGCTAAAAGTTGCAAACAGCTAACTCAAAACTTAAAGTAGCAAAAGAACTAGCTAACAAGTACAACTTTTAAGTAAAAGCTAAAAGTAGAAATAGCTAGCTCAAAACTGAAAGTAGCATAAGGCTAGCTAAAAGGTAAAGGACCTAAATGTAGGTAAAAGCCAAAATTACATAAAGCTAGCTCTAAGCTAAAGTAGCTAAATGTTTTCTATAAAAGTACTAGAATTAAGCTAAAAGCTCAAATTAGCAAAAAAGCTACCTCAAAGGGAAAGAACCAAAAGATTTAACTAAAAGCTAAAAGTAGCATTTTTGTTAATGGATCAAGCTGTTGTTCAGCGAGTGACCAGATGTGATGAAAGCTAAAGCTTCACATCTGTAAGAAAAAGGAGGAGAGCCGGCTAGAAAACAAGAGGCCGAGCGAAAATCATCTTCTCCCTGCTCCTTTTCTGTTGTTCTGCTCGAGTGGCTCGTATGATTTAATGAACGCACACACACACGCACACGTGGAAACGGGAAAGATGGGAAGCACACTGTGCATGGCAGGAATGCACATCGCCCGCCACCCTTCATGGCAGTTTCATGTTTTTGTCTGTTTGTTTGTTAGCAAAATATTTCATGAAGTGCTCAACGGATTTTAATAAAACTTTCAGAGAAGACTCATCGCATGCTCAGCTTGTCAAGGTTGGGAGTCAAACCAATTTAAGATGGCCGCCACATAAATGTCTATAGTTCAGCTAATTTTACACAGACCGAGCTCAAATGTAGCGTGGTAGTAGCTGAGCCTTGTCCTCAACTTATTCTTTAAGAGCAACACTTTGCATAACAATTTGATTCAAACTTTATCAAACTGGAGTTTACCCTGTTTGTTTGTTAGCAAAATATCTCACAAACCATTGGATGGGCATTAATGAAACGTTTATTTTGAAGTAAATATTCACATTTTCATATTTTTTGATGAAGCGAGTAAACCCAACCAAGATGGCTGCCAAAGTCAATTAACCTTAGAATACACAAAAATGGCTACGCTCATCAAATTGAACAGACACCGAGCTAAAAGTTGGTGTGGTGGTAGCTGAGGGTCCTTCAAAACACTCTGAGGACTGACTGAGGCCTCAGTGGTCATTTTGACCCAAGGGCAGCAGGAGGGTTAAGGTTTGACCAAACTCGACATGAGATTAGTTTAAAACACAAACACATAAACCGTGGCGGGCGATAAGCATTCCTCCAAGGACTGCTGGACCTTTAATTTGAAATAAGCGTGCACGTGGGCAAAGGATTTGTTCCATAAAGAGTTTTCCTACTCAAACCAACATGAAGCTGTGGGGCTGCTGGTGCGTTCAGGTGACTCATGAATAAATCAGACGCCATCGTCCCCAGGCGCACCTGGACTCACCGGGGCCACCTGAGATGACCCGCTCCACCCGACACCCGCACGCGCCGCGCGTCTCATTTCTCACTTGTGTCTTCATCTGACAGCAGCTGCCGCTAAACGATAAGAAAAGTCAGAGGGCGGCGCGGGAAACTCCTGATGAGAGGAAAAGTCACGCGCGAAACTCCGCTGCGCATCAGCTGCTCCTCGGGATCAGCAGCAGATTGTTCTTCAATAAAACAGCTGATTTGTCCCGCTGCGCGCGCCTCGTACTCCGCCTGATGCCCATTCACTCAACAGGATGGTGATGATGATGATGTCCTACCTTCCTCTGTCCGTGTCCGTCCCTGGTCGCGCGCCTCCAGACTCTCTGCGCGTCCTGCTGCTGCACCGCCGACCCAAGTCTGTGCTCCCTCCTCCCCCCTCCTCCCCCTCTCTGCCTCTGCAGCTCCGTCACACCGAGAGAGAGTCCGAGTCCAGCAGCAGGAACCGAACCTGCACTTCTTTCCCCTGAAGCTTAAAGTGACAGTTCGGGCGTTTTAAAGTGGGGGCTCCGTGGGAAAGTTACGTTCCTCCCTGAGACTAAGAGCCGCAGGGGCGATCCTAGAATCTGCCGTTTAGGGGGCGCTTAGCCCCTAGTGCTGACAATGGCTCTTGGCTTTAACAACCCAGTGGTCATTGGTCTGAAGCATTTGTAAAATAAATAAATAAAAGGAGGGGGGGGGGGGGGGGGGGGTGTCACACTGATGAGGCGGGGGTCCTCCCCCATAAAATGTTGAATAAAGTAGATGCCATTTCCTGCATTCTGGTGTTTTTTAACAGTTTTTTTTATTATTATTTTTTTTAGATTTACCTACATAATAAACACAATTCAATTCACGACAAGCAGTCGTTTAATTAATTAACTATTTTATTCACGTCACAAAAAGAAGTAGCGCTAAGCTAGCGGCACGCAATACCAACGCACTAGCTAAGATGCTACAGACGTAGCGCTTCGCTTTACATTACACAACCTATTAAACACTTTGTTAAAACTAAACTGATTTTGTAAAAAGACTAAACTTATGCAACCAGTAGTTACAACATAAAACACACTAAACAAAACAACTAGCTTTAAACATTAACCTTTAAATTAAGCATTTAATGTAATTATGACAGGAAATGGAGGATTTACCTGCAGTTACCTTCGTACAGGTGAACATGTGGTACTTCCTGTTTATAACTTATATTCAGCCACTGGCCTTTATCATCTTTTACATTTTTCCACACTCAGTTTAGGTTTTGAAATGTAATAAACTTTATTAAATCCTCTAAACTCTCAGGGTAACTGAATCACATATTCTCCACTGAAAACGTTTAATAATTTTTTTCTGTTGATTTTTTTACGACATCCTTCTGACCAAAGTGTTCGAAATGCAAAACCCAGACAGAGTTGTCAGAGGAAAAGGGGGTGGAGCTCCTGCAGGTAAGGGGCGTTCACTTCGGGACAAATTGAGGTCGCCGATTGGTCAGTTGCTGACGAGCCTGCTGGATTGATTGACAGGTGGCGTTGGGGATCCAACTTGAGCAAAAAAAAATAAATAATAGAAATATTTTTCTGGCCCGTTTAAGAACGTTATCATTTATTCCAAATTTATTCAATATTTTGGTGAATTTAAGGTTTGAGAACTGAGTTTCCTTACAAAATTCTAAAGATGGGTTCTTTATTCGTCAGCGGCGCTGAGTTAAAATTTAGAGGCTAAAATGGCCCCTGCTGACCCGACTAGGTAATGTTTTAAACTAAGAAAAAATAAATTACTAGAACCACCTGAATTCACAATAATTAATTCGGTACCAAGTTAAGAATTAATGTTTCAGAAATTTTAAATCAAATGATAAAAATATATAAATTAAATATTTTTCATTTTTATTGCACTTCAAGGGTGGTGCATTAAACGTAGAGAAGAGAAACAACGTCGATCCCATCATGCTGGTGTTGATCCTGTATCAATGCTCGTATTGATCGTATTGATGTTTGGATCGATCAGCCAAACCACCCGACTGATGTCAACACGTGGAAGACGTGAGGAAACTGTCCCACAACAAAAACATGACATGTGAAAAAACCCACGCAGCACCGAGAGAACATGCAAACTCCACCCAGAAAGGCCCACGGCCGGGATTTAAACCGGCAACCTTCTTGCTGAGAGGCAACAGCTCTACCAAATGAACCACCGTGCCGCCCTGATGTTTATCAACCACCAAAAAAATAAAAATTAAATAAAATAAAATGAAGAATACGCTCATCGTCAACTCCGTCGCCCCGTCCAGTTTTTGCAGCTCGTTTTTCTTAAATCGTGTTTCTCAGTTTGGTTGTGTCGCTTTGGTTTGTTTTGGTTGCCATGGCAACACTGACTTATTGATGTTTCTACAGTTGTTACGTACATTAATACTCTCTGGGCGTTAGCACTCCCAGCACTCCTGGGCCTAATATGAAACTGAAATAAAACGCAGCTGTGGCTCTTCTGGTCTTAGCTGCTCTCGGGCTAGCCGTTAGCTCGTCTCAGGCTAGCAGTTAGCTCGTCTCGAGCTAGCCGTTAGCTCGTCTCGGGCTAGCCGTGCCGTTAGCTCGTCTCGGGCTAGCCGTTAGCTCGTCTCGGGCTAGCC